ATCGTTTTCGACCATGGATATGTATCCATATCCATGGCCAAAGGCCTTACCGATCACGACTGGCCAGATCCTGCCGGTCGTGCACCATTACGGCTACTACGTCGGTGGCCAACGTGGTGAATCACGACCGACATGTTCTTGGTGGCTGGGGGTATTTTGTTAATTTTAAACTTTTTGTGTCTTGGTGTTTTAGCTAATTTCTCAAATGTAGGGGGTTGGGTAATTGTTATTTGAAGACTTTGAGGACAATTGTGTCCGAAATGGTTTTAATTAAGGGAAAATGGAAGAAAAATCCTATTACCTTATAATGTTTTAATAACAACCTCTAGCAAGGAATAAATATCCACTTACAACAGTAACACTATTTGCAATAAAATATACGTATATTTTATTACTTGTAAACCAAACATGAATCTTGCAAAATAAACGAATACTACCCCCGTTATATTATTTATCCCTGATCCAACGGCCTCTTAAGGGGCGTTTGTTCAAAATATTGTAATATGTTTGGTTGAAAGGAATAAAGAATTTTGGGTGAAGCCTTACTTAATTGTCCTTCTTTTTTAATACTAGGTGCCAATTTTTCTAATATTATATATTATTATAATTATTATTAATTAAGATAAAATTTAACAACATTAAGATTACAAGAAATTTTATAATATCTAAGAAAGGGGTCGTATTCAAATTACTCTTATATATCTACATTGATTACTATTTACTATTGGTATTGAAGGTTTGAATCCAAACATGATATGACAACAATATAAGATGAATTGTTGGTAATTACTAATTACCCAACCAAACACACCCTATTATTATTATTTTTTATTTTCTAGAATACAATTTTATCTTTTATAAAATTATTAAAACTTAAATTAAATATTTTTTCCTGAGATAAATGAGTTTAGCTGGAATGTTGGATATATCTATTCATCAAATCCTTTGATTCAACTGCACTTTTCATTTTATGAGATTCTTATTGTTTATACTCTTCAACCCACCATGGGAATCCATATGTGCTCATTATCATTAATATAATTTATTTACTTCATTATAGCAAAATTGTTTTTATATTTAATGGCTACTATGTACTTAAACAAATGTCACATGTTCTCCATTACATAAGGATTAACACTTCCCCCTCTTTTGATTCATTAAGAAATTTAAAGGGTTTCCTTAATTAATTCGTATAACTTATTACCTTAAGCTTCTATCATTACCGGCAAAACTATGATAAATGTACGACCAAGATCTAGTTAGAAAAAGAAGATGTGAGTAGAAGTATTTCAAAATAGAAATTGGAAAGTTCCTATTTTACCATATATTATGAAATGAGAAGTCAATAGAGGTGGAGATTAACACCCTTGGTATAAGCATATGTGTTTCTCTTATTATTATTATTTTTTGGTAAGTAGGTTTTATATTAAAAAAACAATGAGGTTACAAAGTAACGTGAACGACCCATACCCAAACAAATTAAAACGCAAGGCACACACGCTGTGTCCCAATAGCACACAAAATCAAAGAAAAAAAGACGACAAATGCCTACAAAGGAGCACCAAACTTGTAAACAGAAACACAAAGGAGGCACCTACAGATCTGAAGGACGAGAGGATTGGACTGGAGCGTGGCCACTCCATGTCAAGTATAGGTCCACCCGGTCTTTAGTGGGGATAGTAGGAACCATAGCTAACCACCCTTCATGCTACACAGAAGACTCGTCACTTGATTGGTCCCTATGACCTTTTAAGGGCTTTGTGGACCGAAAGATCACGACCTCCATAAACGTCACCACTGAGGACATCCGCAAAGAAAGATTATAAATATTAAAAATTTATAATAGAATGATTAAAAAAACTATCTGTGGAATGACATATGGCACGTCTAGTTGTAGCCCTTTGAATTTGGGCCCAACAGGTGAACTGGGTCTGACAGGATTCATTTGAGAAATTGGTTTGGAGTCAATTTCAAGCCCAGTTCTACTTAGATTTTAGACTCACCAAAAATAGTTTTGGAAAACGTTCAATTGATCACATGTATATTAACTTGCTTATAATTATAGTGGGATGTAAGGGCATCTTTTTAAAATATAGTTCAACATTTGGTACATACTAGGTGTTTGTGCAATATTCAATTTTCAAAGCTATACATTATTAGGCCTTTGCCCACTTAATAGTCTTTGACTCATTGTTTTGTTGGTGCTTTAGTCAGATGACGACTTTTTTGTTGTCTTTACTTTAATGTGTCTACACATCACAAGACCATCAAAAGATGAAATTTGTGTCACAATATTTGACTACTTCCTTTTGTTTTGATATAAACTCTCAATGCAATTGCTTATTCCCCATACACTGTATATGTGAATTCTAATGTCCTCAATATTTTTCACTTGATATGATGTTTGTGTATTGCTTACACCATACAAAGAATTGGTAAAGACAATCGTGCCTACAGTAAACATTGTGCGAAGCTAATAGCTATAAAACACTCTAAGTAGTAGCTACCCTTAAGTGGGTGTTCTTCTATTCCGACTTCCCTAAAACTTTTGCTAGCACGGTCAGAAAGCATGGATCTTCTTCCCATACGAGGATAAAGTCATAAAACGTAAGTTTAGAGGATCAAGACAGATCACAACGAAAAAGTTTTCATTATAAAGTGTGTAAATGTGTATGAATGTGACATTTTAACTAATTAAATTTGATAACATTAATAGATAATTACTCTCATAGTAACTAATATAATGTATTAACATCAAACTCTAGGGTTATATTATTAATTTTGGGTTCAAACTTTTGGATCACATATTTGTGGCTTACCATCTACATTTGAGAAAGATGAATTTGCAAAGTTGGGATACTTAGAATACAGAATATTGGGAGAGAGATCCGAAGAAAGAGAGACCTTCCCCAATACCAAAACACAAGGCAGCAGCCAGAGACAAGAACACCGGAATCTCTTAAACCTTCCTTTGTCTCTCCTACCTAAAGCCAAAAATATTCAAATCACACCCACACGAACCCCACTCACTCTCTCTACAGTGTTATCTGTCGCCTCAATTGTGACTTTTGCTCCACCACTCACACTACACACACTTCACATTCCCTCTCTCTCTCTCTCTCATCTCTTTTTTTTTTTTTTTTATTATAAATTAGGGTTTCTGTCACAATGACTTCTACTACTCTACTACGACTTCTCCCAATAATAATATACTTCTATAATAATAATAACAATACTCCTACTAAGGAGCAGACGAGGAGCTTGTGTGGGTCAGTCTGTCGAGGCCGTTCAAGGTCTGTTCCGGAAAAGGCGGAGACCATTAGTGCTGGCCGTGCTGAGGAAGAAGAGGTGGGTGTGAAACCGGAGGATCCGATGGAGGAAATTGGTGAATCCGGCTACTGTGTTTTGTATTCGGCTAAACAGCCTAGGTCTAATTTGCACATAAAATGAGCGTGCCTGAATTGTGTCGAAATTTTAGGTAGGTACTTGTCAAGTTGTTGAATTGGTTTATTATTTATGTGGGTTTGATCAATTTTGTTCTTTCAGTGCTGTTGCTGTGTGGTAAATTGAATGCTATAGCTTGTGCATCTGAAACTTGTGCCAGAATTCCGAGGTACTTGTGTTTTGCCCTTTTTCCATTTTCAATGCTTTGGAGTTAAATTTTGTGTTTCAGATAAATGTGAGTTCCTGTGTTGACCTTCCTGAACATAGGTGAATTGGTCTTATATGATGTTTTGTTTTGTAGTTCTAATGCAAACCACCATTTTGGATTCCTATACATATTGTGATACCTGAGGACGACTACCGAGTGCGCAGTGTTCATGTCATAGCAGGTAACTTGATGTTTCTTGATTTTTTAATTGTATTATCTTTTTGTATTCTAGTTTTAAGCATATTATCTATGTTGTTGGATGAACTGAGTGTTCTTGTTGTTTATCTTAGTAAGGTTGGGAAACTGTTTGCTCCTATGATGTGATAGTATTATTGTTCTATACATATATTATTATTAAGATATTGTTGTTATTAGGAAGTGGAATACTATATGTATTGAACAATGTCTAGCATGGTTTATTTTTAGGCTTTTGTTATACCATCACAAAAAATAATTAGGAAGAAGAATTATAACTATCTTTAGGTAATCGAGTAGTTAAGATTTTTAGGTATACTATTTAAGAGGTTTTAAGTTTGAATCATTCTTTAAAGGTAGTCAGGGGATGATCATTATAAAAAATAAAAACCATTTCATTTATTAGCACAATGTAAATCATTCTTTGCTATTTCATTGTCATCAAGATGAAGAGAAAATAATAGAAGCATTCATAAAATAGAACCGCCATTGCATTATGATAAGAATCCATTCTAATAACTCAATAATTTGGGCTGAGTTATGAGTCTTTCATAGGCTTAGGTAAAACTCTCCTTGGAAAACCGGTTTGCCAAGGAAGGGTGCCTAAGCCTTTATAACCTATATGCCCACCATTTTCTCTTTCAATGTGAGATCCTAACATTCTCCCACGCTTCGAGACCCAACGCCCTTGTTGGTCTTCTTTCCAAAGAGCACCCGGCCTCATCGGCCTTTACTACCCTCCCTTTAAGTCTTTTACTTCGCCTAGGAGCCTGTCAGCAACTCTCCTTCTCGACCTCTCGGGGAGCCCACTAGGTCCTACTGCGTGGGCTACACATCGGTCTCTTTACCTCTTGGGTAACTTTGCAGATCCCCTTTCCTTGGGGTAGGGGCCTGGACCCAAGGTCAGCCTGCCACACGTGCGCAGGATCATACTCTGATACCAATTAATAGGAACCTACTCCAATAATTTAACAATTTGGGTTGGATCATGGGTCTTTCATGAATTTGGATAGAACTCTCCTTGGAAAATTAACTTGCCATGGGAAGGTGTCAAAGCCTTTATAACCCACATGCCCACTCTTTCCCTTTCAATGTGAGATCCTAACACATTGCATATAATCCACATTGACAAAATAAATCACTCAATTAACAATTAACCCATGAAGGCATGAACCAACTATTATTAGAGAAATGAATAACTTACAACTTACATCAACATGGTCCGGAAATAATCTTCCATTCTACTGTACCTAAAATCTTGTTTTTTTTTTCCCTATAATTCTTTTGCTCATCAACCAAAGCTCTTCTTTTTGTTGATCATCTGAGGATCAACTGCAAGAATATATATCATTTTTCACCTAGGGGTTACCTGAGTGATGGTAATTGGAACTGAACTCATCTGACTGACAGTAGAGTCGGCTGATTTTTTACTTGAAGTTCCTCTACTACTTTCTGAATCTTGGAAAAAACCCGGGGCTGTAAGTTCCTTCTCATTGAGTCGAATATTCTTTGAAAGCATTTCAACAACCTGACTCATCAGTGGTCTTCGGCTGGCTGCCGCTTGGGTGCAGAAGAAAGCTACTTTCATGTATCTAATTACGTCTTCTGGTGGAAATTCTTCCATCTCCGAATCCACTAGCTCCAAGAGCCTTCCCTCTTCGTGAAGCTGCCATGCCTATAGAAGGAAAGACCGGTCATTATATAGAATTATTTTGCAAATTATTCTTTCACGAATACATAAGAAAAAAATGAATATTCAACTCCAAGAAATTGAACTAACAGCAAATTAAGTGTTAAAACAAATTATCACCAGTAAAATGATCCATTCTTGAAGAATGGCCCTCACCAGGAAAATTGTCAGAAAGCAAACTTATGAAAGCGAAAACAAGGAAGGGAACAGGGCAAAGAAGAAAACAGCTATGATATACTTATTCATCAATAAACTAACTGAAAAAGGAAAGGAAAATAATACAGCCACCGACGATAGTGCACCAAATGACGTGACAAAATCCTGACCGTTGATTAATTTTAACTTAATATTAATCAATGGTCAGGATTTTGCCACGTCATTCGGTGCACTACCATCGGTGGCTGTAACATTACTCAAAAGAAAAGCAACACACCCATTCCAGAAGTAATTTTGACATGTCCCCCCAGTTTGGCTTTCCGCTGCTTCTGCCGCTAATTATTTCAAGTACAAGGACTCCAAAACTATAAACATCCGCCTTCATGGTCAACTGTCCACCCAATACGTACTCTGGTGCCAAATAGCCACTACAGAATAAATCACAGCATTAGTTGATCTGCGTTTTCTTTCACTTACAACCTTAATTTTTGCAAAGAACTTTGAGTGGTGCAAAAAATACTATTCTACACAACTCTCTGCTTATTTGGGTGTCACAAAGACTCAATCAAATGTTCCTTGGAAGGGAAAAATTCAAGTCACATTGACATGTCCCACCTTAGCGAGCTAGTGAAATGAAAATCTAGTTGCAAATAATTTTACAAAATGAGATAAAATAAATAATTCAAAGTGCAACCATTCAAGATGAGTGAGGTTTGGGAGCAGGAACGGAAGTTGGCCAAAGTATAAAAAAGCAGTGGAAGTATTTCAATGCATTGCACATATACACATCTACACTGAATTTCATCAGTAATAGTCCAAGAAACAGTGAAGAAGCAAATGTTCTTTACTTTCAGATAACCCTGTGCAAAATTTTGAGATTGTCAATAAAATCTCTCTTTTATTGTCATCAATACTATCCAAATGCTTGACTACTAGCCTCAAGAGTACACTATGAAACTTTTCTTTGCTTGCGCATCTAAAATTAGATAAATTTCTCTATTTTAACTCTCTTTTCTGGTGTTCTGTTGACATCTATGTAGTTCTCACTGCATAACCAAGTTGATAATCTGCTTGTTCACTACTGCAGTCCATAAATGCCTAAAACAATTTAATATGTTATAAACCATAAGCCTAGCTATCCTGCTTGACTTAACTGTGACCTTAACCGTAGAAATAATAGCAGCATGAATAAGATGTCTAATTCAGAATAAGCATCTGTGAGGTCCAATAAATAACCTATAAAATGGAAATCCACACTGCCACCAACAAAATCCTAAAGTGATCACTCGTTGCAACAAAATTTTTGACAGGAACTCAAGTAACATTCTCTTGTCAGTCTTAAACCAAAGCAAGGAAGGTACAATGACAAACAACAAATAGGAAATAGCTGGAGAGTTGAAAGATCACATACGTTGTTCCTGCTATCCTTGTGGTAATGTGAGTGATGTTATCTGGGAAAAGTTTAGCCAATCCAAAGTCTCCTATCTTCGGGTTTAACTCTTCGTCAAGAAGTATATTACTAGCTTTGATGTCTCTATGCACAATATGTGGCACAAGTTCTTCATGAAGGAATGCAAGACCTTTAGCAATACCCACACAAATAGCAGATCTTTTTTTCCAGTCCAGCTTTAAATTTCTTTTTGTTGAACCTGAAAAGGAAAAAAAAATTATCCCTTCACCTTCCTCAGTATAAAATTCTAAATTCCAGTTTTCTGCTTGAATTTACCTAATAATACACGATCAAGACTGCTATTTTCTACATATTCATAGACCAATATCCTCTTGGTTCCTTGAATACAGCACCCAAGCAACTCAACAAGGTTCGGATGCTTGACATCTGATAGAGTATTGACCTCAGTTCTAAATTCCTGCACGCCCTGCTTTGACTCAGCAGAAAGTGTCTTTACTGCAATTTGCTTTCCATTTTTTAGGACTCCCTGGCAACATGGCAACCAAGTTAATACATATAAAAGGTTTTGCAAACATGAGATGGACTAAAACAATACCCTTATCCTGTGTTATACTACCATTATGTTATAGTAGGAAAGCATGAAGCCAAAGGATACCAGGTTTCATACAAATTATTTTAGAGAAAATGAAAAAGGACAGAAATGTCTGATCCCCAGTCTATATGGGTGACTTATATCCTTCCACAAAAATAAATGGCATAAATTTAGCCCATCAAGAAGTGAATGCATAATATGCAGAAAGATACTGAATAGTGTTCCATATTTCATCCTAATAGGTTAAGCCATCTGCAGATTTTGGTGTACCTTGTAAACAGTTCCAAAACCTCCTCTCCCTATCTTATTACTTAAATGAAAATCTTCTGTTGCCTTTCTCAATTCCTTGTAGGAAAAATAGTTGACATTTCCTCGTAATTGCCCTAGACAACATCAAAAAGAGAAGCAACAAAAGAATTTATTAAGAGAACAAAGCTAAAATCATACAAATGCATGAGCAAGAAAAAGGAACTGTGAAGTGATAAAATACGCAACAGGAGTCAGAACAAAAGCTCATCTGAAATGGCATCTAAAACAAACTAAAGCATTTAATTAAGATGATCCATCAAAGTACTTTAACCAGTTTCCTTGAATATCGTCTGACATTAATTGGGCATTAGATAGCTTAAAACTTCAAGAAGTTGGCAAAGGCACCTTAATAACCGTTTCATATTAGAATAACATTTTTGGCTTCCCATTTTGAACAAAATAATAAAAGAGACACAGGAAACATGTCATAATTGTTAAGGTTGTGTTGGCAGGTCAAATCTACCCACTGTTCATGCTGGTTGGACTAATGGTATATTTACCTGAAATTTTAATTACAAGATACGGTTGAAGGCAATTTCTTGCAGCAGATGCAGGTAAATATCTTCTTAAGATAAATCCTTATAGTTGACAAAAATAGAACAGATGTAACTGTAAGGAGGAGTGATTTTGAAGAGAAAAAAGAACTAGGATCTATTGGTAAAAAAGAAGAGTACTCCTACAAAGGGTCTTTAGTCCACAGGTAAATTGTTTCTGTGTTACAACAAAGGGTTATGCATCAAGTTACATCACAATAATCTTTTGCACACAGTTCATATAGAAAATAGCACATGTGAGTGCTCATGCCTTCAATTCCAGCCAAAATGTATTACATAATGCTTATAAACAGTCAAATAGAAGTTAATAGAAACTGATACACCCTTCTAACTTACACCAACAACAACAATTGACTCAATATAAATCATATACAAAATACAATGATTCATTCCCATAAGAAATGTCCCATAAGTTCAAGAAGCACCCATGAAATGTTGATGCTATTGAAATTTTACTGCATACAAAAACATCCACACAACCAAATAGATTTAACTTAGAGTTTACTTATATAAAAAGCTGATTGAACGTTCAACATAAGAAATCATTGCTTAACAAAGTCCTCACCATCTACGCCATGATAAGCCTGCGGCACATCATCCCCTTTCCCGTGCTTAGATGAGCCAGTAAAGCATCCACAATTCATATCTGTATATGATATTTAGTTGGTATCTCCCTTTTCACATAGATATGCCTTATAAACACAAATTACAGTTCAACATCAGAAATTCTGGTTCATGCCCGGATCACCAAATCCATTTAAGCAAAAGGGTAAACAAAAACATCAATCATCAAATAAGGCTCATAACAAAAAAATCATAGTACTAACCAACAACAACTGAATTATAATATGTATCAAATCCCCACCAAAATTCAAACCCTAAAATTCACAAAAAAAAATCCCAATTCCCATTCAAAAGATAAATTCAGCGCATCAAAACAAAGCAAAAGGGAACCGTTTCCAGCTCTTCTCAATACCTTAAAAAACGAAGCTTAACTTAAATAGAGAAACGAAAAAACAAATGCCCAAGAGCTAAAAATACTTACAAAGTGAAGTTGACAATGAAGGCGTCATCAACCTTTCTACAAGTAGATGAAGTATCCAATACGTGTTGTTTAACATGAAGGCGTGAAATTTTTTTCTTTTCTTCTAGTTTTGTTCTCGTTATTGAGGTATACTTGTATTTGTTTGTTTAATAAACCAGAAAAAAAAAAAAAAAAAATCAATAATTGACCGCTTCATTATAATACTAGGAAAAATTTAATAATCAAAGCAGTAGTTGTTGACGTTTCCTTTCTTCTGTGGTTGATAACTTGATATGACATTACAAAAGAGAACCCTATAAAAGTGGTGATTGGTCTCCAGCTTTCACCGCTCTACTCTCGTTCACACTTCCTCTGTTATTTACTCCTGAAATTAACTGTTCGGTTTTGCTACCATCCCTTGTTTCCCCATTTCTATCTATACATTATTTATCACGTAAAAGCAGTACAAATAGTATTAAATATGGAGCAATTTTAACTTGTCAAATCTACTAGAAAAGTAACGATATACTTTCAAACAAATCTTACCAAAATTTAGGTACAAAGCCAGAAACCAACGAAATAGTTATTATGAAACATACTCATATTCACTCTTTTACTCATTTTTAGTCATATTATTTTGTATAAAAAATTTTATAAAATTTATTTGTACATCTAATATTATTGTCTGCTATAAATTATTTGGTCCAATCAAACAAAAAAATACTCTACTAGAAATTGTCTGGTCCAATCAAGTAAAAATAATCCACTTTGGGATCAGGTTGTGTGGATTTGTGATTTGTGAAACATCATTAGATGATTTAATGGTAAAAAAATAAAAAAAGGTTCTATGAGCTCCTGAATTCGAGTCTCCTTAAATACTAATAGAGATAATTACTGCAACTATTATCCGATCAGTAGTTTTAAAGTCTCAAGGATTATTTGAGGTGCGTGCAAGGTATGTCCACTTAAGGACTAAGCATTCGTTGTGCATAAAGACGTGGCCAGGATTTTTAGTAAATAAGTTAAAAACATTTAAATTGATAAATTTACAATAAAATTTAGTGGGTCAATATAAATTTATATAAAGTTAAAATTGTAAATATTATAAAATAAAAAACCTTCTTCTTCTTTTTTAAAGTTGAAGTGGTCTTAATATGAATTTAAGTGGAGTCCAAAATTGTAAATACTATAAAGTATATAACATTTTTTTGAATGGGTTCAATTAAACTCTTATGTTAACAGTGTGGTTAATTATGCGACATTGGATGTGATAAACCCCCAACTATTAGGCGCTTTGAGACCAAACAATAACATACACGGGATTGTTTTTGGTTTCACACGTGTATTTCGCTCAACATGTGTCTACTTAGTTTGACAAACTAAAACCTTAAAAACTGAATCCCAAACTTATTCATTGGGCAACATAAGATATGACAAAATCACAATTTCGCTGTAAGAGTTGATGACAACAAAACCAGGTAACACAAGACATGGGATTTCATTTTGCTAATATTTAATTTTTTAAATTAAATTTTTGACATCATTTAATAACCATCTATCTAATGCAATAAATATATTTACATTTATTTCTTTCACCTCTTAGATTATTTTAAATGACTTAAAAAAATTTACAATTTAAGTTATAAAATATAATTATTGATAAAAACAATTCAAATACTTTATGATTAAGTTAAAAGTTAGAAATTTTAGTTTTTTCAACTCACTTAATTTTAGTAAAAAATTAATTATTAAGTTGCTTCTTCTATAATCACTTTCGACCCGACTTTATGAATAATATAAAAGTTTACTCGTGTGAAAATTTTAAATTGCTTTTACTTTTGAAAAATGGTAGGTGACAAATGTAAAATGACTATAATAGTTGTTTTTTTAATTATTAAAATATATTAAAACTAAAGGTTTCAAATATAAAAATGAAAAGCATTGTTGAATTTTTAGAGTGTCATCAGACAACAACCAGTGATGATGGCCAGAATTTGTCATTGGAGGCACGTTCGACGACACCTCTAGATCCATTGGGTAGATCATTAGTCGATCTACCCAATGGAGCAATCAAAGAGGTCGCCGACTACAGCTTTTCACTGCAGTAATTTGGAAAATGTCGGTCGAACCTTTTTGGATATCTATGGTCAAATGCCACAGTTGACGACAACTCTAATTGCTTCATTGATTTGACCGATCGGTGATCTATCCGATGGAGTTGGAGATGTCGCCAGACACGCCTCCAATGACTAAGTTCGACCAATATCATCGGTTGTTGTCCAGTGCCACTCCAAACAATTCAACAATGTTTTTAATTTTTAATTTTTTAATTACATTATTAATTTAATTAAAAAATAATAATTTATAAAAAACAAATTAGAATTTAAGTTATGTTTTGGGTGTTCTTTTGTAATTAACGATGTCAAAAGTAGCTTTTAAAATTCTAAAAAGTTATTTTTTGATTCCTTTTATAAAACATATTATTTCAAATTAGTTTATTAAACACTTGAAATTTTTATTTTTAAACTACCATTAGTATTTATGTAATCAATAAAAAATTTAAAAAATATATATTTTTAGGTAGTTTAAATATATTTAAGTAGAATATAAACAACTTGAAACCAATATTATTTTACAAATCTACAAATTTATGTGTACAGGCCCGTTATCTCTATTTAATTTCTCAGCCATAACAATAGTAAACCTTTGACTAACCTAAAATATGAAACAGTCACCGCCATTTGAACACACGTGGAAGGAAATATCATTTTGTTCACACATCAAGACTTAGAATAGAAGTTCAAATATTTCGGCCATTTTTATCGTTCATAAAATGTATTTTTATTTTCACGAAACAAAGAATTTGGAAACCTCAAGGGGTTGGTGTGATAGTAAAAGAAATTTGCTCTATTTTTTGAGTTTCTGGATTCAAATCTTGAGATTACCTACCACAATAACATTGTGGTTTATTAGATTTTTTAAGGTCACCTATCACAATAATATTTGTTGTTTTACCTGATATGTTATAAAACTAAAACTTCAATTTCAAATCAATAATTTTATCACAAGATTATATAAAAAAAATTATTAATTGATTTGAAACAAATTTGAACAAATATATAGTAATTTGAAAGGATTTTTCGGTTACGTAAGTGATAATTTTTTTTTTATTATTTTCACACGTTTATTATTATATTATACAAAATGATAACCAAATAACCAAAAATCTAGAAATGTTGGTTTTTTTTCTTGTTCAAAATTTTTCGATAAAACTCATATGAATCCAGAAAGTATTGCTCCTCATGAAAATTTGGGGTCAAAGTTAAAGACCAATTTATAAATTCCAAAAACCAAATTTGATTTCAGCAAACGGTTTCTCATTAAATAAATGGATCAAAAATTTCTCACACGATTTCAACAACTTTTTTATCTTCTATCTCTGTGTGGGTCCCTAATTTTGAATAAACGGTGGGATGGCACATGCAAGGTATCTTTAAAAAATCAATAATATTTAATTTTTACAATATAATATAATAACACTAGAGAGGGATGTTTGGTTTAGTATAAAAAGATAAATTACCTTAAAGATTACAAAGAGAGGGCATTTGGTTCAGGAATATTAGATTACTAGAAATATTGGATTACTGGAGAGATAGATTACTTTGGAAGATTACTGGGAATATTTAAGAAAATATGTTTGGTTAGTTTGTGGGTATGTTATATTAATATGTTTGGTTATGGATAATAAATTGGTGGGTATGTTATTTAAATTACTAAATTGTCCCATTTACAAATATTAATATAATATTATTTTTATTATTAATTTTTGAATAATTTCTTTTAACCCCAATATTTCAGATTTAGTTAAAACACTCCTATTTATATAAAACTTTAATTTATTACGAAATCACCCACATCTCCTGCCGCCACCGCAGACCACCGCCAGAAGTCTCTGAAAGTCTCCATCAGCAACTCATCGTGACCAAGAGGCTTCGATATGGCCATTAATGGCCAGATCCTTGGCCATTATCGGCCAAATCTGGACGAGATCTGGTGGCTAATGGCCATAGACCTGGCCATTTCCGGCTAGATCTGGCCTGATATGACCGTTTTCGGCCATCAATATGGCCGAAAATGACCATATCGAAGCCTCCCACCGAAACTCGTTCTTTTTTAGGGATTCCGATGAGTTTTCGGCGGCGGTCCGTGGTGGTTGGCTGCTGTCGGCGGTGGTGGCTGGGTGGCAGTGGTGGTGGTGGCTGAGTGACAGTGGTGGTTTGTAAATTGTTTTAAATATAAGGACATTATTGTCCAAAATTTTAGTTAAACAAGGGTAAAATTGAAACAGGATATTAATGTAAATTTATTTTGAAATGAGGGCATTATTGTCCAAAATTTTCATTAATAAGGGATAAAATTGTAACAAAAAAAGATAACCCTAGTAATCTCATAATACTTAAGAAAGTGGAGGTAATTAGATTACCTCCAATATTATCAATAGTAACTACTATTGGTATTTGAAGATTACTGGAATCTTATATTACTTGACAACCAAACGTGGTAATCAAATAATATAAAATGACATTGCCCTAATAATCTAACATTACCGCCAACCAAACGCCCTCAGAATATTATATTAAATATATTTGGTTGTATTAGAATAAATTAATGAGTATGTTATATGGGTAAAGATTGGTTCATAATCTAATCTTACAAATTTTCTCTCACAACCTCGACTTAACAGTTTGTAATTATTCAACTCGCAAATAAGTAGGCGAAACTCAATTACGAGCTGACCAATTGTGAGCTGCCACGTCAGACGTGTGAGAGAAAATTTGTGAGATTGGGTTATAAGTATAGTATTATTCATGCTATATTGTTATGTTTGATTGCGATAAATAAAAGAATTGTGGAAAACTTTTTTACTAATTACTCTTTTTTTTTAATATTTTAAAAATGAGTAAAAACACGCCCAGCAAGCCAAGAAATCTGCCAGTCGGCGCCACCACTGCCGGCCGGATCGCAGACAATTCCAAGTTCCAACAACTTTTAAAAAAGGTTTAACTGTTTCAGTTTTGGGAATACTAAAAGAAAAGTTAAACAGTAAAATACCCAAAAACTCAGATTTTTTTGAATACTACTCCCAATATTATTTAACTTATTTTAAACCCCTTAAATTTGATAA